ACTCTAAAATTATCTAATAAGTTATTTAAAATTAAATAAAATTTAAAAAAATGGCAAAAAATTTAACAAATTATTTTACTTAATTAAAAATATTTAAGAAAATGTGTATATTTTATTTTTAATAAATTTTATTATTTGTACGAGTTTAGAATCATAAATTAATTTAAACTCTTTTAATATTACTAACTTACTATATTTTTATTTTCATAAGATTATTAAATATTTAATTTTTTAATATATTTTTAAATATTGATTTTTTTTATTTTATGGATCCTTTTTTTAAAAAAAATTAAAATTAAAAATTAAAAATCTTTTAATTAGATTGTCTTATCAACGTCACTAAATAACATATTTTTACATTATCTCGACGTCCAATATCGTAACTATGATATGAACCATTAGCACTTTTTGATATCTTAGCAATCTTTTTATATATTTTTCTCATACTCGTACTTATTTAACATATCAAAGCTATAATAAGGAGGACTGTAGCAATCAGATCATAACTAAGAAGTTTTCTGATACACAGGATCTTCATTAAAAAGCAAGTATAGAGTATACTTACTTCTAGTCATAGACTAGAGGATAATCATTATTAATAAAGCTTTCAGAAAGAAACTTAGAAAAAACACATGATATTATATAAACAAAAAGATTTTATTGATCTGTTCTGCCTTCTATAAACTCTAAAGAACTCAAGATCAAATAATTATTAGACTCTGATACCATTATTAGCTGGAGCCTCCAATATGATAGTTATGATATTGGAGATTCTCGGCCAATAATAGTAACAATTATAAATAATAACTTTAAATTTTAATATTTATATAAGTTACTAATATTTTATAGTATGCAAGATTTATGATATGTATATAAAATTTTATATTATTTAAACATTTATAAATATGTTATTTAAATTTTAATATTTATTTATATTTTAAAATATATTATATGTTAAAATAAAATAATGTAATAATGTATTTATTAATTTTATTATTATATAAAATTTTATTAAATTAATACATCTTATAATAATATTTAAAGTTAATTTTATATTTTATAAAAAGTTGTTAAATAATAATATAAATATTAAAATTTGATACATGATATTAATAAATCTTAATATATATATATATATATAATTTAAAATATATTAAAAATAATCATTGTAATTTTTAGACTTTTTTATATAAGATATATTTTAGAACAGTTTTTTTAATTTGTTTTTATGTGTAACTATAAAATAATAATCCTATTACAACCTCGTGTATTTGGAAATTTATTAAGCTTTAACATTTTATATCTATAAATTTAGATTTAGAATGAAGATTTGGAAACTTTTAGAGTTTTAGGATCTTCCAGTTGATTAATTAATATTTTAAGGCTCAATCAAGAATCAAGGGTAACTAATGTATGAAACAATTCAATAAACTTAGCATAATGCAAATGATTTTCCTTAAGAATGATACGACTGTGACTGAGAAGATTATGCGGTTATAATGCAACGAATTATTAAAATATATCTTATGAGATAGGTTATTTATGTTTCTATTTGTCTTATAATATCGATAAAAAGTACTTTTAAAAGCATTTATTATATTAAAAAATATTTATTTTTTTAAGATAATCATTAATGACGCTTAAAAAAGTATGCCAATTAATATCTTCAAAAAATTAACTAAAATATTTTAATATACTTTATTAAATAGTTGAAATTTGTTAAAATACAAGTATTAAATTTTTTTTATTCTGTATATAATAAATAGCTTTTCCCAATAAGAGAAATGATACCAAATTGGCAATACCCTTTGTCCTGTTTTTTTTATTCACGTCTAATTAATAGATAAAATTCACGCGTTTCATTCTTTCCTTAATGGATTTTAACATCTATTTAGTGAACTTCATGCAGACTTAGTTTAATAATGAAAAATGTATTAGAATAGTATATAGCTAATCTTTTTGTTTTCATAATTTTTTATCTTCACAATTAATATTTTTAAAATATTATTAAGTACGTATTTTCCAAATAAAAATTGATTATGTTAATTAGTAGTTATTAATAAAATGATCATTTATTTAATGTTAATCAGTCTTTATTAGTATTTTTATAAAAAAATAAATTATTAACATAAATATTGCGAATATATACTAATAATATGATACATTATGTGCTAATTGATGGTTTTAGTAGTATAAAATATTAATGTACACGATTGATATAATAAATTTTAGATAGTATCTATAAGTGTAACAATTTACTTTTGTTAAATAAGAATGATAGTAATAAAAATTATTCGAACAATTGAGTATTTAATAATTTTTATTTTTATAATAACTTTTTTATACAATGCACGTAAAAAGGAAATTTTCAAAGAATACGGAAAAATAAGCAACGAAACCTAAAGAAAAAAATTATACACAAACACTAATATTATTTTTTAAATTATTTTATTTTTTAATCCCTTCATAATAAAATAATTAATTTCTTCCAATTGTGCTGAAATTTTTTGTACGATTTAACACTACTCGTACAACCAAACAACACATTCTTATTGAGGGTTTCTTCTGTGGTCTTAAAATGAACTGCACTTCCTATTCTTAGAAATTTAAGGGTGGAAAGTTATTTAAGTAAATTTAATATTGATAAATAATAATCAAAAACTGTTTTAAGAAGGCAAGAGTTTTTCTAATTTAAAAAACTATAGAAATCGTGTTTCCTTGTTACAGTGAACTTTCACATATTATTATGATACTAGTTATGGCAGTCCGTTCATTCCATCCCTGTTTCTCAACACATTAATGTCAACATTTATAAGAGAAGATGATAAAATTAATTACGAATATTTTAAAATTAATTTATGTAATTTAATATTTTAAAATCTAAATTATGATTATCAACTTCTGAAAGCAGTGGCATTTTTTATTTTCTTAACAACTAATTTGTTTTTCAAAAACAAGTTTGGGCATACTAAATTGTAAACAAAAAAAAAAAATTATAAACAAAATTAAAATTCCCTTTCTAGTGAATCACTTTTGCACTGCCATAGTGCCAAGTGAACTTTCACCGCACCATACAGTGAATATTCATTTCCCGATGCATTACCAACTCGCGAAAGGACAGATTTAGCTATAGATAATTCCTGATAACATGAGCCTCTTCTTGTATTATTTGGCTCACACAAACCAGACATGTGCATTCAAAACTTCAATCCACACACAACTGTACGGGAGAAAGGATAAAAAGTAACAATTTTTATAAATTATTACAATTTTCCCTCTTCCTCTTTCAACGCCCGTGAATAGTCACCGTTATTACCTACAACCCCATCCCAATCGGAAAGGGGAAGGAAAATGGCTGACCATTGGCTACTATTCAAGTTAGTGGAACATCTGGCAACACATTGTATTGCTAGATGAAGAAGCCAGGAATTATAATAGGAAAATGAGTATCTTTGACTTTAGAGGGTATACTTATTTAATTCATATATGCCAAGCGAAAATTAAATAAATATATCTTAAAAATAGGTTTGCCTAGCATTATACTACATTGTACAAACAAGGTTGGTTGATGAAAGAGTTATAGTTGTGCTTTGTCTTGTTTTTTCCCCCTCTAAGTAGCTAATGTGAAGAGTAGACACACGATTTCTTCTTTCTTTTCTCTCTTGTAATTGAGAATTTTATTTTATATTCATAAATCTCAGCATCCCCTTTGTAGCATGAGGATTTTGTTCCGTAATTACATATGTGTAGAGTTGATGGAGGAGCAAGATGGGATAATGGAAGGGCCGCAAATGAATGGGGAAAGTGTGTGTGTGAATGCATCCGAATAGAAAACGATTGAAAATCCAAGGCGCATAAATTCGTCACATGTGCTCTGCCTTAGACGTCAAAACAAAACCACCCACAGTTGTGAGCACAAACACGACATGTGAGCTGTGAGACAAAAACGCACAATTCAAATACTCGGCTCATCCGAGGACCCCGCCACCGACACTTATTTTATTTTTCCCCTTTTCTAACCAGGAATTTTTTTTACTGTAGATAAGCGCATTTTAAGAAATGTTGGATATTTTTAATCAATTGATTTTCACAATTATCTAAGTAAAAATAAATAAATTTCCCTTTTGAAATAAAAATCACATGTATTTAAATTTTGAATGAAAATTAACAACTTTTATATTTGTTTTGGTATAAAAAAAATTATGATACAGAGTTGTGACTTGATCTTAATGATGGTTTATCAATTATGATTGTTAAGTTTAATAAATGAAAAGATTACAGTCAAGACTAAGTTCAACAAACGAAAATTTTAATTTCAAATTTAAAAATATGATTTTGTTATTCATTGGATTCATTAACTTTAAATATTATACTATATATCATAATAATTTAAAATACTCCATATATGAATTTTAAAAGCTAAATGTATGGAAAAAATTAAAGCACTTGAAAATAACTTTCAAATAAAAAAAACTTTAATAGCACACACATAACTGAATTATTTTATAATTATTTATTATAAAATAAAAATATATTTTATTGGACATAAGTTGACTCATTTTGGTAGAAAGGTTAAATAATATAATTACACATGCATACTGTGTTCAAATGAATATCTTATTATTTTTAATGAAAAACTTCGTATACGAAATGTGTTTATAAATAATTTGATCATTAAAGTTTATAATATAGTTGATAATAAGAACATATTAAACTTCTTACTATTTGAACCAACATTGATGAAATTGTTTTCATTAACACTCAATTTAAGAATTTTCTATTTTTGTTAAAATTAACATATATCTTTACATTTTTAAAAATTTAGTAGTTTTCAAATTATTAAAAAAACACTCAAAATTAAATTGTTTGATAAAATAAATTATACGAAATAAAATGTAAAGTTGCTGGCTTATTTATTTTAAAGATAAATTTAAATTCGGTTACTCGACCTGAAAAGGGAACAATTATCGTTGCCTACCAACTTTCCCTCTGTTTTATTTTACCCTTTACGGCTGTATGGAATATGGATCCCCTCATGCGCTGCTCTCTCTGTACCGCACATAAATTTAAATCTGTATCCATCCCTACCCATTTCTCAAATCTTTCTCTTCTCCCTCTCTCTTCACTTCATTCCTTCATTCACCATTCACCAAAACTAATAGTGTTATAGTACTAGTGCACCACTGAACAGAGTGTGTGTCGAACGAAAATGACGCTCAGCTTATTAGCGGGTGTGGTGTGTATATCTCTGATTGCCATCGCTGTCGCTGAAGATCCCTACAGGTTCTTCAACTGGAATGTTACATACGGCGACATTTACCCACTTGGCGTTCGCCAACAGGTTCCTTTTTTCAGTTTCATCGTTACCGCTTACCGGATCTCATTCACACACCAAACATAACATTATTTGCTTTGCTCTCACTAATTTGTTCACCCACACACACAGGGAATACTTATCAATGGTCAGTTCCCAGGTCCAGACATTCATTCTGTTACCAACGACAACCTCATCATCAATGTCTTCAACAGCTTGGACCAGCCTTTTCTCCTTTCCTGGTACTCTCTCTCTCTCTCTAGCTTTCTCCACCTCCCTTCACCTCCCTTTCTCCACCGTTACTTTCTAACTTGTACGCATAACATAAGCAAAAAGATAGTGTGTACGGAAGCGTGTCACGAGAGTATCTTCTTCCCGAATGAATAATTAAAACTTTTCGTTTTCCTGAAGATTGCTTGAGATGAACATGTCACTATGTCTGATGTTCCGGTCTGTTGCACGCTTCGTAGTACATTTTGGATGTTTGTTGAGTCACATGTCTGGAAAGTGCAAACAAACTATCAAATATTCCTATCCTACCCCTTCTGCGGGGCCGTGGGTCAACCCGCCATTTCTGCGGACATGGATCCAGATCTGGTTCCCTCCTTTTAGAATTTATTATTTGATATTAAAGAATTTTTAATTTTAATTATTTACCTATAATTGTGCTGCTAAAAATTGTTATTTTCATTTTTACATTAGATGTATATATCTCCTGTGAATATGAACTTTTTTCAACCTTTATTCACACCGAAAGGGCAAACATAAGCGATTATGATTTATGAGACATGAAGTTTCGTGATTGTATTAGATCAGGAGTGATATACATGGAGATAAAAACCATTATGAAAAGTCATTTTTTCGTAAAAGTATTTAGCCAGGCCAGCGGTGCAGTTTGGCTTTCTATACTAACAAGGGCAAAATTACAAATTAAATAATGTCGTCGGATTGCTTGTGCAAATAAAAAGAAAAAAGTGTAAGAAGAGGAAATATTGTATGATTATCAGGTTTTTTTAGGTTTTGTTTAAGTATCTATAAATAGTAAAATTTTATTAAAAAATATTTATTATACTTTTATAACTTTAATACGATAAATTTACATTTTTTTCTATAATTTTTTATTTATAAAAATACTTAAAAAAATTTGGGTCCACGATTATCAATTTGATTTTCTGTTATTGCTTAGCCTCAACAATTTATGTTGGGGGCCCGTTTACTTTATTTACGCTTGGCTGTCCTCCGCTGGAGATCGAGATTGATTATCCCCTTGATTTTTAATGAAAATAACGTCCTTAACTTTTCAATTATTATTATTATTATTATAACAAGACATCTAACCTATCCATTATTCATTGAGAAGCCTTGAAACTTCACTTGCAAAGGTTTGGAATAAAATGGCAAGTGTTTTGATTTCTTTGATCTAGAAGAATTGAAAGAACTAAGTGCGGACGTGCACCTTAAAATTATTCGGAATTATACTTAAGTGAACTTTTTGACTCGGTTGATGCACAAGCTACGCCGATAATCAAACGGAGAATGTTTATCAACGATTATTTTTGCAAAATGATTTTGAAAAGTTTCGTTCTGTTTTTCGTGTAAAATAAATTTTGACTGCATGACAACAGGAAGTTACATAGCATCTCTCTCACTTTTCCATTTTCGTGTATTTAATATGATATATGGTTGAAGCGGTAGGGAATAAAAGTTTAGGGTAAAATACAATGAACATTTTGAGAGGAAATATGATATTGGTTTGCACGGAAAACACAGGAACGGGGTCCAGCAGAGAAGGAACTCATACGAAGATGGGGTTTTCGGGACAACATGCCCCATCCCACCAGGGAAGAACTTCACTTACATACTTCAAGTGAAGGATCAAATTGGAAGCTTCTACTACTTCCCATCCCTTGCATTCCACAAAGCCGCAGGTGGTTTTGGCGGCATTAGGATCCTGAGTAGACCAAGAATTCCAGTCCCCTTCGATGATCCTGCCGGTGATTACACCGTCCTCATTGGAGATTGGTACAAGTCCAATCACACGGTAATTAATCCCTTGTTATTCCATTCCCACCTTTATATTCTTATTTTCGCTTACTTTTCTTTGCTTATATGGGTATGAGGAACAACTAACATTTGACTTCCTGCGTGCCATGACTATAATGTGTTCGACAAGTAGCTCAAATCCCAACTAATTTTCCCCATACCCATCCACACATATGAAGACATTTTTTCCTTTTTAATCCCATCAGACCATGATTTTCAACAAAAGCGATGGACATTTCATAACTTGTTTCGCGGTTGCATTACTTTGAGCTTTTTAAAAATGCTATTTTCACTTTTTAGAGGGTTTTTTTGGAAATAATATTTTATTATAGTTAATTTAATAATATTTCATATATTGTACAAGTCTTTCTAGATTTAAGAAAAATATTATCTATTATAAAATAATATATGTCAAATAAGTTGAGTATAATTAAATTAGTATTCTGCATAGTGAAAATGAATGATTTTTTTTGGGTGACAATTGAATTGACTTAAGCATTTAACAATTAAAATGAAGCCACCACATGTAAATTTTGTTTTAAAATATTTTAAAAAGAAATTAGACTGATCCTTGCCAATTTTAGATGAATCAATTTTTTGTTTAAAATTTGTCTCTCTTAAACAAATCAATCTCTTATTTAAATTTTTACTGGAGATTTGTTTCTACACAGCCTTTAAATAATATATATATTTTTTTCCTGGTCATTAATTATTGGATTTCTTGTCTACAACGTTTCATAGCGTTTCATTTTTGTCATGTACTAAACACTGAAAAAATAGTAAAAGCAAAGGCCCGATAGGCCCAGAAGAAGCAAGACATCATAACGATTTGTTTGTACTGTTACAGGATTTGAAGGCCCAACTTGATAATGGTAAGATGCTGCCATTCCCCGATGGAATCCTGATCAATGGTCGTGGCCCTAACGGTGCATCTTTCAATGTGGAACAAGGTGTGCGGAAATCATTTACAGTCCAACTACTCTTATTAATAGCTACTTCCCTTTGTCCTTAATTAATTGATGAGTCAAAAACTAATAACCCAATCGAAAAATCTAGATAAATACAAGCTTTGTTATCACTATTGAAGGAAAATCAAAGTTGTATATATAACAACCAAGAGTAACTTCGACGCATACACTTTTTTGAATTTTCACCCTTACCATTTCCGCCACAGGAAAGACTTACCGGCTTAGAATATCAAATGTGGGGTTGCAACATTCTCTTAACTTTCGCATACAGAACCACAAGTTAAAGCTGGTGGAAGTGGAAGGAACACACACACTGCAAACTACTTACTCATCCCTAGACGTCCACGTGGGCCAATCTTACTCCGTTCTAGTAACTGCGGATCAACCTGCTCATGACTATTCCATTGTGGTCAATACTCGATTTACCTCCACGGTTCTCACCACCACTGGAGTTCTTCGATATAGCATCTCTGCAGGCCCAGCATCAGGCCCACTCCCTGGTGGACCCACCATCCAAGTTGACTGGTCCTTGAACCAGGCGCGCTCCATCAGGTTTTTTATTTTTTTTAAAATCGCTAAACAAGGTTTTTCAATCATTGCATTTGCATGCTTTTCTCGTTTAAAATTAGGAACATGTTTATAAATGATGCATAATTTCAGGACGAACCTGACAGCAAGTGGACCGAGACCCAACCCGCAAGGGTCGTACCATTATGGTATGATAAACACAACGAGGACTATCGTGCTGTCGAGTTCAGCTGGTCCAGTGAATGGGAAGCAAAGATACGCAATTAACAGCGTGTCTTATGTTGATCCAGACACTCCTCTTAAGGTCGCCGACTTCTTCAAAATCTCGGGTGTTTACCGTGTCGGAAGCATTTCTGACAGACCCACTGGCGGAGGCATATACCTTGACACATCTGTATTGCAAACTGACTACAGAACTTTTGTGGAGGTTGTCTTCCAAAACGACGAAGACATCATTCAGAGCTATCATTTTGATGGCTACTCTTTCTTTGTGGTTGGGTGAGCACTCACCACATATCACTTTTCAAACAATGCTTTCCATTTCACATACCAATATTAATTAGTTTTTATTATATATAGTATGGATGGAGGAGAGTGGACAGCAGCTAGCAGGAACCAATACAATCTTCGAGACGCAGTTTCGCGTTGCACCACTCAGGTGATAATCAATTGGCATTAATTGTCTCTTGGCCTAACATATAAGATTTTGGAACTGATGCAAATCTTTGATAATTCCTGCAGGTGTATCCCAAGTCATGGACTGCTATATATGTTGCTCTTGACAACGTGGGAATGTGGAACTTGAGGTCTGAATTTTGGGCACGGCAATACCTTGGTCAACAGTGTTATATTCGCGTTTTTACAACGTCAACCTCACTCAGAGATGAATATCCTATTCCTAAGAATGCACTACTTTGTGGTAGGGCAAGTGGGAGGCACACTCGACCCCTTTGAGCTCGCAAGCGCCTCAAGGATCTCACAGTTCGGTACATGGAAGCTATTCTAGCCTTATATATGAAAAGCAGTTAACTTATCTGCTTCTGATTTTGAATTTTATTTTATTGTTTCGGTAATTTGTGCTATGCTCCGATGATTTTATGGACATGTATGATTTAAATTATAAATGACCCCAGCTCGAGGTCACATTCTTTCCCAGAAAAACAAACAATATTCTATTCCAATTGTAATTTCCATAAATTATTATTAAAGATTAAGATCATGAGGAAGTTGGCATTGGGCACTTGGCAGAGGAGCGTGTCATTCATTTAGCGTTGATAGTCTCTTCTTTGCTTGGTCTGAAAACTAGTAGAATACAATGCTCAGTGCAATTTAGCTGTGGAAACGCAAAATTTTAATTTCAATGGCTAATTTTTCCTTTTGTATGACAATGGAAACCTGATGTTGGCAGCAGAGAATACATAAGGTCACAGTTCATATATTTATTACCATGAAATTGAAGCATTTTCTGCACAAGAGTAAGCCAAACTAGCATGAGTAAACAATAATCACAAAGCCAATATATTGATGCCTGAAGAAATTATTGGTAAAGTCCTTCACAATCCACCAAATTTCTTTCACCAAAATGGCACTTTAATATTTGAGAATCCACACTTGTTTTGTCTCCAATATTCTACCTGATGATTATTTTAACTCTTGTTATAAAATTCATAATTTACGTAATATATTGGTCTTTTTCTATTTTTTTCTTTTAAGGATTAAACATGCAATAAAAATTATCTTTAGATATAATCAACCTAAGGATAACTCTTCTTCTTGTGCTAATAGATGACTGAATGGGTAAACCCGTCTCGGGAGTTGTTTCGACCCACTCTAATTTTCAAACGGATTGAAAATATCAACACACTCCATTTTATCAGTTAGTTAACAGGCTGACGTACTTAAATATTAAAAAATAATAAATAAATAAATAAATATATATAATATAAAATTTTAACCTACATAAATAAATAATTTATTAATATTAATATTTTTCTTTCAATATTTATTAAATATATATAATAAAAATATATGTACAAAAAGATTTTTTTAATTTTGTTATTTTTAAATATTTAACCTTAAACCCTAAACTTTAAACAAGTTAACTAATTTCATCACGTCTATAAACTAAGCCAGTTGACTTATTTTAAATTTAACTTGTGAAAATTAACGAATTATGCAAATCAATCTGAAGTGTTGAATCTATATTATTAACCGTAATTTACATATTTATTTATTTATTTGGTGTTTTATCCCTTTAATCTTTAATTTGTGATTCTTTTCATTAAGTTTAACTCCTTTTATAAATTTGAAGATTTAGAAAATATTTTGAATTCGAATAAATCATAAGTATTTTTTCCCTCTAAATCATCGTCAATATTAATTTAAAACCAAAAATAAAATGTCAGAAAAAAATGAATTTAATCAAAATTGAAATAAAATAAATTAAAAATGTTAACAAATTAAATCGAAATTGCAGAAACCCGCTCCGCTCGGGGAACAACTCCTGTGCAGTTGCATCAATAGTGATAGCGCTGAAGCAGAGAAGAGAGAAGAGAGAAGAGAGAAGAGAAAGAAGGGTTATATACTTACAAGTGAGATTGAAAAGTGGAAAGGAGATGGAGAAACAGGAACAGAGCGAAGGCGATTTGGGTGATAAGGAGTTGGAAGAAGTGGTGAGGTCTTTGCCTTCAGACGCCGTGAAGGAGTTGTTGTCCCACGGGGTGCGTGGGTTCCTTTTAACTTTCCAATTTCTCATTCACTGCTTCTTTCTGTTCACTATTTTACTATTTTGTTCTTTTTTTATGTACAGATATGCGTTCGCTGCATCCTTCGCCTGTTTGGTGTCCAAGGCCGTGTCTATGCTACTCCTTCTCTCTCCGCTTCCATTCTTCAACCGCCACCAACACAAAACCATGAATCTCAACTTTGCACGCTTTGCTTGGGGATCTTGCAGTTCATGTTTTCCACTGACGACGAAACCCTGGTTCAAAACGACGATCTCCCTCGTCTCATTGCCGACACGGTTAAACGACAGGACTATCGCTTCGATAGCTTTTCCCTTGAAGTTTCCATCCCTCCTATCATCCTTCATAATGATAACTCTCTTCGGTAACAACTCAACATCTCGTCTCATCCATCATAATCATAGCTTGCCGCTGTTATTTGTTCAAGTTTCTGTGATATTAATAAGAACTCGTTCTAATTGTTTAATTTTTGTAGGTCATATATGAAAACGAAATATGGGTCTCAACCTTGGTTCCAAGAAAACTTGCATATTGGATGCATCTCTACCAAGGACGCCTTAAAATTTTCTCTAGTACATCCTCTTGAAAATCTACTCGTGAGTATTATTCTTTCTTTGTCAGGTGTGTTTCAATATCTTTATTTCTTCAGTAATGCTACTAGTCATGTCATCGCCCGTCAGAATACAAGTTTCTTGATGTTATATGCCCCTTCTCTTTCTATGAGTCAAGACGTTTGTTTGTCTTTTGTTTGATTTGTTTTCCAATAATCCTTTACAGAAATTATGTTTTGCAGGAATGTAAATCCGGTATGGGCTCTTTCCGCATTCGATTGACATTCAGTCACACTAAAGCGTCGATGGGGGATGATAAATGTTCAGATAGTGCTGAGAGTTGCAAGAGAAGAAAAATAGGCATGTATAAGTTTATTATTGTGCCTATGTGTTGTATTTTCATATGTCCTTTTACGAAGAAACTTTGATCATATGATTGACTTTCATTTTGCACTTCAAGTTGAGCAGTGATTTTTTATGATTTCATTTTGTGTTTTTCGTTTGAGCATGGTTGTTTTTGGACAAACGTATAATTCATTAGTCTTCCTATTATGTTGCTAATAGAATCAATTTCTCTTACATTTGTGCTTTTTAAGATGTCTCACATAAGTGGATAGGAATAGGAATAGAGATAGAATACTTCTTATAAGGCTTAAGCAGCCCTCCTCCTTCGAGCTAACTTTTAGGAGTGAATTAGGCCTAGGTTTCTTATATGTATCATAGCCTATCTAATTTGAATGTTGGGTTACTCACAATGTCTAGTCCTACAAAACTTCACACATCAAATGAGCGTTCTTATGTCCTTGACATGAGGGGGTTGTGTTAAGATATCCCACATAGATAGGAATAGAGTTATAATACTCTTTATAAAGCTTAGGTAGTCTAGTCCTCTTTTCAGCTGACTTTTTGAAGTGAGTTAAGATTAATTTTCTAATAGGGCTGATATTTCCTTTCATGATGAAGGGGCTTTTTAAACATTCTTCTTAATGATCTGCATATTATACTTATACTACTTTTTCAGTGGAAGCATGCTTTTCTAATAGTGTTTGTTGGTCTGACAAATGGTATAGGCACTGCCTATGATTTCCCAGTTTCTTGCATTGACTGTTTAGATTTGATTGTAGGTGAGTCCAATATAGTTGGAGAAAGGCCTTTTAGGAGTTCACTACCAAATGAATCCTCTGACTGCAGTAAATTCTTGCTAGAAATGGTAATTCTTGATTCCCTTTGTTTATAATTAAATGTATTGTGAATTTAAATTGCTTTGCTGTGATGATTCCATGTTTGTCAGAATGCTGCCATCAAATTTATCAGCATCATAATTAATAAATCCTTTCTAATTTGCATGATGGGTCTGCAATGGGATTATGTTTTGTTTTGCTTTGTAGTAAATTGCAGAGCCACTGACTTTATTTGTTTATTGTCTATTAAGATTATATATGTTTCTATTGTTAGTTTTGCTTACTTTTCAGGTAAATGAACCTTGCCATTTTACTTACTTCTGCTACAGGACACCGTTCTATTTTGGTGGAAGATACCTGAAGGTAACAAATTTGTTATCCTCCCACACCCTTCCTAATTGGAACATTCTGCAGCCATTACATGTAAACCATTTTCTTTAGCATGATCATATTTTTAAGGTTGTAAGAGAAAGCTGGAAAATGGCCAACAACCCCATCAGAGATCAAAATCTATTAATTGATATATCTTTGTATCTATTAGATTCTCTTGTATGCATTGATTTCATGATACAAAGAGCCACATAATTGCCTCTCATACAAAATGAGTGAAATTTAATTCTTTGATATGATATTTGGAAACACTAGTATAGAAAGTGAATGAAATAACATTTAGTCTAATGAAAAACCCAAAAGAACTTTAGAAAAAATTATTAAATAGATCTAATGATAAATAATATTTTAGAGAATTTAGTTTTTCATCAAGTTCAATGACATTGTATAATTTATGTAATTGACTTTACTTAGTGGAATAAAGTTAAATTTTTATTGTTGTAATATTTTAAGACATCATAAATGCCATGTGTTTATCCAAAAGCCACTCTCATAATTTTATATGTTCTTTTATAACATGATATGCACATTTGATATGGAAACTACATTGGAGATATTTATCTATGGTAATGCAAACTGCAAATTTGTTTTTTGCACTTTGAAATATATAGTTAAAATAAATTACAAATTGCAATTGACTAATTGTCCCAAAAAAGGGATTTTTCATGTTTGGAATATAGAGTCAAGGTTTGTTGACACTAGTTATTAAATTTGGACACTTACACCACTTCATGACTTTTTATAGAATGCAAAGTTAATCAATCCAACTGGGTTGAAGGTTCTTATAAAGTAAATCAACCTTATAAAATTTCACACAAAAATAAAATAAATAAGTACTTCATCATATTATTTTATTTTGACGTATAATATGTTTTTAAAATATAAAAGAAAATCAAATTTTTGATAATTACTAAAGTTCTAACTATTTGAAATTTATTATATGTAATCGTGAAAATAATATAAATTGATTCAATGGTTGAATTAGTCAATTTTGTATTCTCTAAAAAGTTAGCAGTGTTAGTATCCAAAGTTGACATCTAGTGTCAACAAATTCTAACTCATCATATATATATATATATATATATATATATATATATTTATATAGCAAAGTAATGTTTGACTAAGATTGAAGTTATCTTGTGCAAATTCAAATTTATGCTGTTACTTTCATGGCAGTTTTCACGGAATGTGAGTCAAACACGCTGGATCATTGATGATGAAAGAATGGGTGAAGCATCAGTTGAGGTACTGTCCATTCTGGCAAATAGCTTTTGCCCTTTATGTTTCCTTGTAATGTTGATTGTGTAAGGTGACAACATTTACAACTGTTGTAGGAAATAATTGGTGGAAACATCCTCCAAGCATGCCAAGGTGATAGTTTTAAGTTTCATGCTGCAGGGAGAGAAGATATCGATGTACTAAAAATTTGTGGTTTTTCTCTTTTTTTAAGTTTATTGGTGGGTGAACTTAACTAATATGGAACTGTTTTTCTAGGTCCGGATGTTGGGTTCTGGCAGGCCATTTCTCATTGAGGTGCAAAATGCATGTCGTGCCCCATCTGAACTCTTTGTAAAAGATATAGAGAAAATGATAAACAATGTGGATAATAATTTGGTAATGTTGAGCTGAATTGGTGATGTCTCTATGTCATTTATTCACTTCATGATGATTAAATTTATAATATCATATGTTCATGTAGGTCAGGGTGAAAAATCTGAAACTTGTTGGTAGTGATGGCTGGAACCTTATGCGTGAAGGTGAAGCAGAGAAGCAGGTCTTGCATTTTGATTCTTGACTGGTTACTATGTTATGTTGTTCATGGTTTGTAGCTTTGCTTCATCCATTGCTTATCTATACCCTCTAACTATTATAATCTTAAAATTATGTAGAAACAATATGCTGCTTTAGTGTGGATTTCTCGTCCTCTGAAGGATGAAGATTTCCAATGTGTGTCTTCACTCAAGGATTTGGTGAGTTATTATGTTGACTACTTGTTATCGAACTTGTATTTTGTAAGAAAGCTTTAATAAGCAAAAGAAGCACCTTTGTTGTTTTCAGTCTCTTCATCATTGATTTCTGAGTAGTGCTCAAGATGTGTCCGTCTCTTTTTGTAACACATCCTGATTGTAATTCTGCCGTTACACTTCAAAGCAGAGTAATTTAAAAGAAGTTTTAAAAGTAGGTCCTGTTGCTGTTACTTGTCAGTTTGATTAATGTGGTTGTTGTCCAATCAATCACTACTACATCAAAATTATGTTCATCCAAAAAGCTGATGGAAATAGTAGAACACGTGTTTCAACTTCCAACATTAGACTGAAATCCATTGTTAAGCAAAATGCAACGACTAACTAGCAAATGAGAAATGAAGCGTGATAATTAATTTCATATTCTTGACTCCTATGAAGGTTTGCTATAGCTTGAGCAAGGCTCTTTGATAGGAGTCAACACCCACTAAGAGTATAAGTACTGAAATATCTCAATTTATAGTAAAACTCCCCAAATACAGCACCACATAAATGTATAAGTGATCAACAGTCAAATCGAGAGATTAAAAAACAATCAAGGTCTTCAGCTAGCAGTCCCCCCTCCCCGTTCACGTCGTTGTAATTCCTTCACTGCCCTTTACCATTTTCCAGGTCCTCTTACTGTCCCAACTTCCTCTCTTTTTCCTAGTGTAGACTCGGGTTACCCATGGATTATATTACTCATCTCACCTTGGATAAACTCATAATCCCTGGGACACTTTTCAACTGGAATTTTTGCATATAATTAATGCCTTTTGTTTTAATTTGTACTTTGAGAACCTCATTTTTTTTTGTTTTGAGCAGAAAGTTTTGCAGAGGACCCCAATAAGGGTGCTACATCGGCGCAGTCCTTTAGAGCGGGAAAAAATTATTCATTGGTATGATTTTTCCATTTATTATTAGTTATATGCCATGTTTACACTCAAGGCTGCATTCAGATTAGTAACTGAAATTTTGCCTTCTGTTTCTCAAATCTTAGGATGAAAATAGAGACAATTGTTGGAAGTTCCCAATATTTTCTTTTGCATCTCTGTACACAGGTATTGTTTTATATTATCTCTTGTATAAATGACATCTCATAGGGATTGAATTACTTTTAAACAAGGCTAGTGTTACAGAGTTATACTCAATAAGAAGGAAAATGACAGCAAAAGAAAAATCAATACTGAAATAAAATGGATCATAACTCTGATAATGGAAGAATTATAGCAGCAATACACACTACTGTCCCAGAGCAGAAGAACATAATAACAGGCAGCCAGTTTGGCAGTAATCCTTGAAGCTATAGATTGTTGCCTGTGTGATCTTAATTTCAAAAAGGCCTAGTCACCTATCTCAAAATTCTGTACTATTCTTATCTGCTTGATTTTTCATCCTCAATTGAGCTCGCTGAAGGTGATTCTTAAGCTATCTCAAGGCTTCATCCCTATCAACCAAATCTCTGGGCACCACTTCAACTCTAGATTTACATGTAGGAAAACGAGTAATCACAAGGGGAGGTCTCCCATAGACTATCTCAAAGGGTGTTACCCCTATAGTCTCATGGAAGTTGGTGTTATACCAATATTTTGCCTAATGTAGCAACAGTGTCAATGAAAGATGTTGATCAGCAATAAAACAACAGAAGAAAGTCTCAAGGTACCTGTTCACAACATTTTTTTGGCCATCAAATTCAGGTGACACGCTGAACTCATCATCAACTGAGTGTCCTGTAATTTGAGAAGTTCTCTCCAAAAATTGCTAATGAATATGGGGTCCCTATTGCTAACAATTGCCTTTGGGATGCCATGTAGCCATACCACTTTTGCAAACACTTCCGCTAAAATACGAGCAGTGTCGGGACGCTTTGGAGGAATGAAATGTCCATATTTTGATAATCGATCTACCACCACAAAAATAGCTTCATACCCTCTTGATTTAGGCAAGCCCATGATAAAGTCCATTGAAGCTTCCTCCCAAATCATATCTGGAAATTCCCAAAGGAAGTTGCAAACCACCACGAGAAGTAGCCATATATTTCTATCTTTGACCGACATCAGAAGATTACACATAGTCTTGAATCATTTTCTTCATACCCACCCAATATAAATTGGCTGCCAATCTCCTGGATGTTTTGTAAAAAACTGAATGACCACCTTGAGGTGTTGTTTGAAACTCCATTAGAAGCTTAGGAATTAGAACTGATTTGTTAGATAGCACTAACCGAGTTCCATAGTGTTGGAATCCAGTGTGAATTGAGTCCTATATGGAATAGAATATGAGCAAGTTAGGTGTCTATGAGGAGATGGATACATGTACACATTGCCTTTAGGTTTTAGGGTTGCATTGTAGTGCCTTATTCATTTTGAGACTCCCTACCTAAAACTCTCCTACCTAACATTGATATGAGAGCTAAGTCAATCCAAGTGACTAGCTTAGACGAGTAAATAAGCCGTGATAGAGAGAGCCTCGACAGTGTGGCACCCATGGTCAGTGTGAGAATGCATTGTAGAAGAAACGGTGACACTAAATGAGTCCTAGCAGAGCTGGTGGCACCCAAAACAGAGGGTATGGAGCCCAAAAAGTGTCGTTGAGTGGATGACAACCCATGTGAAAGGCGAGCAAGAGTTGTTGTAGTGTAGACTATGGCTACTTGTGGATGAAATAAATTCCGGTGTGGAGGGAGCTAATATGAATTAGATAGGTTCACACTTGAGGGAGAGTGTCGGAATCAAGTGTGAATTGAGTCCCACATGGAGTTGAATATGGGCAAGTTAGGGGTCTATAAGGAGATGAACCCATGCATCTATTATTGTCTTAAAACTTTAGGATTGCATTGTGGTGTCCTACTCATTATGAGTATCCCTACTTAAAAACTCCCCTTCCCAATAGTGGTATCAAAGTTAGGTCAATCTATGTGACCAGCTCAGACGAGTAGATGAGCTGCGGCAAAGAGAGCCCCAACGGTGTGGCACTCATGGTTAGTGTGAGAGTGCACCCTAGAGGAAATGGTGACACTAGATGAGCCTTAGCAAAGCTGGTGGCACCTACATGCGGAGGGTGTGGAGTTCAAAAAGTGTCATTAAGTGGACAATAAGCCCCATGGACGGACTACATGAGCCCTAGCAGAGCTGGTGTCACCCCCGTGCGGAGGGTGTGAAGCCCAAAAAGTGTCGTTGAGTAGACAACAACCCACTTAGAAGGAGAGCAAGAGTTGCTCTAGTGTAAACCATAGCTACTCGTGAATGGAAGAAATTCTGGTGCGGAGGGAGTTGATATGAAATAGATAGGTTCACACTTGATGGGGAGAATAAATTGAGTCCTACATAGAATGGGATATGGGCAAGTTAGGGGTCTATAAAGAGATAGACCCATGCACCCATTGCATTGGGTTGCATTGTGGAGTCCTACTCATTGTGATACTTCCTATCTTCTTCCACCACCTTCTCTAACTCCATCCAAGATGGATATGATGCTATCAAAGTGAATTCACCCTCATCAATAAGTTGAGACAAAGCCTTCGCCCCCTTGTTCTCTGAACCCGCTTTATATAGAATCTCAAATTGGTAACCTTGCAATTGGCTATCCAATTTTGTTGATCCATGGTAGAAATTTGTTGTTCAAATAATTGCTTCAGACTTTTGTGATAAGTGCTAACAATGAATTTCCTCCTCAACAAATAGGGTTGCTAATTTTGTATAGCCAAAACTACTGCCATTAACTCCTTTTTGTAGGTTGATTCGGCTAAATTCCTTTCACTGAGAGCTTTACTAAAATAAGCTACAAGTCTGCCATGCTAAGTTAGAATAACACCTATGCGTTGACTAGAAGCGTCACACTTGATCACGAACTGTTGTGTAAAATTCGGTAGTGCAAGGACCGGAGCTGTTGTCAATTTCTCTTTAAGACTGTCGAAGGCTTTTGTTGTGCTGTATTCCATTTGAACCCTTCTTTCTTGGTTAAAGTTCTTAATGGTTTGGCAATGGCAGTTTCTCCTTAGTTACAAATGAACTTTTTGTAGTACTCCGTAAGGCCTAAGAATCCCCTCACACCTTTAATGTTTTTTGGAACAGGCTATTGCTGAACACTTTAAACCTTGCACAGATCCATGGCTATCCCTTGATAACATTTCTTATGATTTGCCACCATCTATTGTTGCTAGAGCACACCCTTAACACCTCCATTAAATGCTTTAAATGTGATTCCCAGTCACTACTATAAAGACAAGAATAATAGGAAAGAGAAAGATGATGATAACTCAAAGAGATATAATAAGGAGAATGATTACGGGTAGAACGTATACTTTTTTGAAGGGCAACGAGGATGTCAGGTTCATAAGGCAGGAATGGAAGATGAGGCGAAAGAGTTGGCTGCAAAGGCTATACTTAAATCTTCGGGTTGGATTATGGTGACACTCTCTCCCATGGCCAAATTGCCTTATGTGCAACTATTTCTGTCCATTGCCGCTATATGTCATTAGCCTCTCTATCAGTTGGATATCAGGAATGCTTTCTTATATGGTGATTTGCTTGAGGAAATCTACATGGAGCAATCTCCTTGCTTTGTTGTTCAGTAAGAGCCTTCTGGTCTTGTATGTCGACTGTGAAAATCTTTATATGGCCTCAAGCAGTCACCCAAAGCATGGTTCAACAGTTTGGTATGATTTAGAGCAAGGTTGACTATTTTGTCTTCTATCGTCACTTACCTACCAGTTGCATCTATCTAGTTGTTTATGTTGATAACATTGTTATCACGAGTAGTGATCATCTTGACATCGCACAGGTGAAACATCATCTCTTTGAACATTTTCAGACAAAGGATCTTGAAAAACTCAAATATTTCTTGAGAGTAGAAGTAGCACAGTCCAAAAATGGGATCATCATATCCCAAAGGAAGTATGCGATGGATATTCTGGAAGAAACAGGAATTTTAAATTCCAAGCCAGTCGATACTCCCATGGATCCCAATGTCAAGCTCCTGCCAAATCAAGGGAGCCTCTTCTAGATCCTGAAAGGTACAGACGATTAGTAGGGAAGTTGAACTACCTGTTACCCGTCCAGATATCGCGTTTGTAGTGAGGGTAGTAAGTTAATTCTTTAACTCTCCATGTAAGGAATATTGGGATGCAGAAAAGGGTCTTTTGTATGAAGATAAAGGGCACACTAGAGTTGTGGGGTATTTTGATGCAGATTGGGCAGGATCTCCCATAGATAGAAGGTCCACCTCTAGATTCTGTATATTTGTCAGAGATAACCTTGTCTCTTGGAAAAGTAAGAAGCAGAATGTTGTAGCCTGATCTAGTGTAAAAGCGGAGTATCGAGCTATGGCTATAGCGAGTCAGGAGCTTATATGGCCCAAATAGTTGCTTCAAGAGCTAAAGTTTGGAGAGGTTACACATATGTCACTTATATGTGACAACTAGGCCGCATGCACATTGCCTCAAATCCAGTATTCCATGAGGACAAAGCACATTGAAGTTGATTGCCACTTTGTTAGAGAGAAAGTCATCTCTAGGAAAATATCTACTAGTTTTGTCAATTCCCATGATTAATTATCAGATATATTTACTAAGTTACTAAGGGGTCCTCAGATTAATTACATACGTAACAAGCTTGTTGCATATGACTTATATGTTCCAGCTTGAGGAAGAGTGTTAGAATCTATTAAAATCTTGTAAATATAGTAACTGTATATTTTGTAATTATGTACTCTCTATAAAATTGAATAGCTCCAATGTGCCCAAGACACACGAATTCATTCTAATATCTTTCAATATTTCCTCTCTTAACTAGTATGTTATAAAAAAAACACCAAGACAAACTTCCTCAACACTTATCTAAAAATCTCGTTCTTTATAGATTGGAAGGTTGGTAGGGCATTCGTTAAACCAAGAGACATTATTAAGTACTCGTAATGTCTCTAGCGAGTTCAAAATGCAATTTTGTGTACGTCCTCTTCCTTAACCCTTCCTTGATGGTATTCTGACTTAAGATCCAATTTAGAAAAGTATCATGCTGCATGCAATTCATCTAGTAATTCATCAATGACTGGAATAGGAAATTTGTTTGATATGGTTACCTTATTGAAGGCACGATAGTACACACATATCTTCTATGACCCGATCTTTTGTTTTTTTACTAAAATAAATGGACTAGAAAAAGCACTTTGGCTTGGTCGAATAACCCTTGCCTGAAGCAACTCTTTGACCTACTTTTTAATTTCATTTTTGTGGTGGTGTGGATACTTCTAAAGCCTCACATTGATTGGACCTTGTTCTCCAAATAATGTAATTGCATGATCCTTTCCTCTTAGAAGTGTTAGACCTTTGAGCTCCTTAAAAACCTCTCTATGCTGACTCAACAACTGCTTGATCTCTTTTTGATTAATATGGGATCAAAGGGTCACATTTTGTCACTGTATATCTTTGATAACTCAGACTATTTTCAATTAGAAAGAACATCCCTGGTGTTCTGCTTTTGTCTCGGCCAACAACGCTATGTAACGTGTCGGCTTCTCCTTTGAACTCTTTCCAAGTACCTCCTTGCTGGAAACGCATGATTTGCTTCCCCCAGTCAACTTGCATTTCTCCTAGGGTGGGCTACTCACGAGATTCCTAGGACCATATCTATGCCTTCCACGAACAAAAATTACGGAAGAGAAGTAGGCAATAGTTAGACTAATGTAACTTAAAGCACGAAAAATATAAATAAAGAAATGAAATGTATGCAGAATATTAATAAAGTAAAATATTTAAAGCTTAATTTTGGAAAATATTCATCAAAGCTTTAGGGTTTAGGATATGCAATAGCGAGACTACTATTTTGAATAATTTTGGAAACTCTATTCATCAAAGCTTTATGGAGAAATCGGTGAGGGTGATGTGTTTACCCAGTTGCCAAGTTATAATTCCTTCTTTAGAAATTGGTAGAGGAAATAAAGCTTTAGAAATTGGATCATGCAATTACATTGTTTGGAGGACAAGGTCTAATCAATGTGAAGCCTTACAAGTATCCACACCACAAAAATGAGATTGAAAAGTAGGTCAAAGAGTTGCTTCAGACAGGAATTATTCGACCAAGCCAAAATGCTTTTTTTAGTCCATTTATTTTAGTAAAAAAAAAAAAGGATGGGTCATTGAAGATTGTCAAAATGCATCCAATGATTCCCCATTTAATTTCAATAGTTTGGGAGAGGCATAGCCGTAAGAGTCGGCCTTCAGTTGTAATCCCTTTGACAACATCTCCAGCAGTTTCTCTTAATTTGAATCCGCCTTTGTCTGCATGACGACAAGAGTGGAGCGAATATGGGCAACCTGGGCTTCCAACACAGCAACCTTAGACTCCATTGTACTTCCTTTAATGGTCTTTTTTTAGGTGGCATCCACAGATACGTCCTCCTTAGAAATGCAGGCTCCTAATGCGAGAGATAAACGCACCTCGATGTATCTGGCAGGTTGGACCAGTTTGTCACAGCGTTATACTTAATAAGAAGGTAAATGACAGCAAAAGAAATATGCATAACCGCCCCCCCCCCCCCCCCCAAAAGGTCCTCTCTCTCTTCCTTTTCTCTTTTTTTATCCTCCCATTAGTTCGTAACTAACTTTCACTATGCCCTTACTCTCTCTTTCTTCCAGCTCATCATTCCCTCGTCATTCCTTTCTTATTCTTTCTCCTATAAACTTTCCAAATCTTGGGCCTCTTAACCAATTGCTGGCCCATCTGTACTTTTGATCCATCTGGCCTATTTGGTAACAGCTAGACATGAATTATGATTTTTTAACACCACTAACTTGGCAGCTCCATGCTCCATAGGCATAAGAGATAAGGGAGATATTAGGAAATTGGTTGTAATTTTAATAAAACGAGAAGATTAACAAAAAATTAACGGAAACCGAGGAAGTAATTAGTTAAAGTTTGAAAGATCTAATATGATTGTACTTGCACAGGCTGGGACCTATATCAAGGAATTTGTTCATGGGGATCTTGGACGCACCCATCCTAGGTAATGACAAACTACATTCCCTGCATCCATACTGCCTTGAACACGCTACCAGATTGGCAAGTGCCTTATTACTTTTGGTTTTGCAGCATTGGATCAATTTTGGGTTGTAGAGCTGAAATTTTGCAACTTGATGTCACAGACATCAAAATGGAATGTTTCCTGACGTAATCAATCTGATAATTCAGTTTTAAACCTTTGTTGACTGACTTTGGAGTGGACGGTGCTACAGATGCGCGTACACCTTCAACGTGAGCTACTTTCTTCTTGTTGCTAAAAGATTTTCTAGATCTACATCTTTTCGTACTGATGAGCCTCTTAATTGGATCCCCTTAATGCCCATGAACGACGAGGAAAGAAATCCTAAAGTAATTATGGCTTTATGATTGAGGTTTAGGGTATATTTAGTTTAGATTTGAGTAGAATTAATTTGATGTTAAAACAATGTTAGGTTAGATAAATTGAGGTGCACTTACTTTTTAAAGTATAAATATAATTTTTTAACCTCGTTTCATAATGAGAGTGCTCTAGTAGCGGGAAAAAAAAAGGGAAGTTTCTACTTTCCTCTTAATTACTGTGTAATTTAACTTTTCTGATGGCTAACAGTCCGACAGTAAAGAAAGAGTTGGATGTTGCATGATATCAACAACACCGGATAGGATATATTCTTTTGCAATGATTTCGTATGGCTAAAGGTTATCATTTCTCTGCGTAAACTAGACGGTTATCCCCAGTGGAAAAAACTAGCTGGGGTAAATTATGGATCTCACTGCGAGGAGACAATTTCAGGACTGTTTTATGCCTAAAACAATTTATATTCACCGTGCACATGCTCTTAACATGAAATCTGTTAAGATTAATTTGGACTTGTATTTCTATTAGTTTAAAATTTTATTTATTTTTTATTTTAAAACAAAAGGGTATACTTGAACTAAAAATCCTGTTTGAGACTGGCTTTGTGAATCAAATGAACCTACATTTTAAACCCTTTTTACCGGCCATGTCATCTGTAAATCAATTCATTTTTCACCTATTAGCTGTCATCATTTAACAAAAATTAACAATTTTCATCCAACTGTGAATTCATAAGTTATTTTTCTCCTGTAATGCATTAAATAACTACTGGACTTCAATTATTGAAAATTTTATATTCAAAAGATATCATGAGTCACGACGAGAGCATATTAAAACATTTGAAGAGACCTCTTATATCTAGATTGTCGGTACTATAACTTCTGGTATAAAGAATAGAAGCAACGCTTTTGATGGACATGTCTGTAGACGGATCTAAATTCTCTACAGTGTTGGTAGAAACTGCAGGGAGTGTAGTGTGTTTTTGCTTAAATGAAATTGGTAACAAATTCGCTTAAGCTTGGAAAAAGGGCTTGACAGCATGTCCAAGCAAGTCACAAGAAAGCAGAATCATGTTTCACTTAAGCCTCTAATTTCGTTTAAGCGATTTTAATTTAGCTTAAGTCCTTTCAAGCGAAAACAATTAAACCTAAGTTAAAATGGACCAGAAAGGCATGTATTTCAAGCACTCTTTTCGCTTAAGTGGAACCTAAATCGCTTAAGTTATTATAAATTTGCTTAAGCTTTGACAAGCAATTTTAATTAATATTAAGCGAATTTCAGGCAGAGAGTAATGATTCATACATAGAAAATGGCTTAAGTGAATTTGAATTGGCTTAAGCAAATAGTTCCAGGGCTCGAGTCCAGATTTGAATTTTTCAGTGAATATAGATATGCTTAAGCGAATATGTGCGCTTAAACGAAAATATCATAATTTGAAAAAATTATGCAAACACAGACAACATGCAAGAGGAGTCAAGTAAAGTTGATTATATTACATAATACCATTTCAACTCACATCTTACATAGAAAAAGAGTTTATAAATACATATTTAGCCCAGACACAGAAGAAGTATTGGCAATTGCATAAAGTATTGAAGCATTGGTATCATCCAAAAGAGTTTATAATATAAGCACCATTTTAGATAACTATTAAAATCTAACAATGAAAACTATGGACATTGGAAAACTTAAACTAAAATTCATTACATAACAAAAAAATGTTTAATTACTAAAATTCATTAAAATATAATGTAATCCTAATTGTAATCATGGGTCTCCAACTCCTACATTATCCTCATCCTTATCTTCCATGGGTTGTAGCTCATCTCCCTCATCATGTCCCCCTTCTTCCTCTAAGTGTTGACTTTGTTCTATATCTCTCCTTTCAGTGTCATCATTGTTTTGAATGTCATCAAACGCTTCTTCGTGTGGTTGTGACACATGATCATGTGGAGTTTCTTCTTCAGGTGAAAAGGTAGGGTTGTTTCCAGGCCATAATACAGCTGCTGCAAAAAGATCTGGTGTGGGCCATGGGAAAGCTGACATCTCACCATGATGTTGATGTAGCGTGAACCTGTGAAATTCAGAAGATTAGGGTAATGTGTTGTGGGTATGATTAGATATTTTAAAATATTAAATGAAAGAAGAGTTGTGATATGAACCCCATTTGCACAAGGGCTGACTTAGGATCTTTAGGGTTAGAACCTTGTAGAAAAATTTGAAAATTTAGTGATGAATTTTTGGGCAAATTAGGTGTTGGTCCATGGTGTTAAAAATGAGTGAAAAAGGAAGCAAAAACGCTGGTTTGGTGGTGGCTGGACAGAATTTTAGAAATGACGGTATCTCGAGTTATAGAACTCCAATTGAGGTGATTCCAAAACGAGGTGAAAGTTCTCGTTCTGAAATGCAATTTAGGCTCAAGAATCACTCAATTTGGCTGAGTAGAACGAGAGTTATGATAACGAGATAATTTTGGGCAGATTTGAGTTTTTTTTGGAACTTTGGTGAAGAATTGAATGGGGGAAGGAAAGAATCACTCTTTCCAAGGAAGGCAACACACAAAGGGATGTGAAAGCCCTTTGATACAGCCAAGGTGTTCTTGAATCACTCAAGAACTTAGGAGAATCACTCTCACTAAGATAAAAGAGATAAACTCTAATATTTCTGAATCAAACTTAACTTGTCTTATTGATAAGAATGGTTCAGCTTATATAGAAGCTTTACCATCAGAATTACAAAGGTTCCGTAACGGAAAATGAAACTACTTGATGGCTGATTGTAACTGAAATTGTGGCAACCAAAAAGTCACCCAACAGCCACTATGCGTCTCTTGGTCTTCCAAAGGCTGATTGTAACTGAAATTGTGGCAACCAAAAAGTCACCCAACAGCCACTAGCTATGCACCTCTTGGTCTTCCAAAGGCTGATGCCTAAGTTGCCAATTGGGCCCTTATTACAACTTGAAATAAAACCAAACCAAAGCCCATTAGTTGATTAACCACAAAACATAATTTGGTCAGCCAACTTTACAAAGGATTGGGCCATTATTTAAAACAAACTAAAAGCTTAAAAACTGAAGCAAAGTGGCGCCCTAGTTCTCCTCCATTTGGGCCATGATGCAATTCACAACCTTGGTCTTTTCTCCTTGAAACTTGGGCTTGTATTCAATTAATATGGACAACACTTGTTGAAGAGCTTCTTTTGCTCTCCTTGCTCTAGCCCTTGTCATAGGTCCTCCAAGTCCTTCAAGAGGATCCTTGCCCTTGCTCATGGTCATGTCCTCATCATTCTCTCCCTCTTGAGAAGGATTTGTCCTCAAATCGGATTCTCCATCTACATCAAAAAGAGATAATTCAGACACATTGAAGGTGGAACTAACATTATACTCACCCGGCAGCTCAATTTTGTAAGCATTGTCATTGATTCTTTCAAGCACTTGGAATGGACCATCTCCCCTTGGTTGAAGCTTTGACTTCCTTTGTTCTGGAAACCTTTCCTTTCTCATGTGCACCCAAACCCAATCTCCGGGTTCGAAGATAACCTTCTTTCTCCCTTTGTTGGCTTGTTTAGCATAGCTTTCATTTCTCCTCTCAATTTGATTTTTGACTCTCTCATGAAGCTTCTTCACATAGTCCGCCTTTGCTTGACCTTCTTTATGCTTAAAAACTGAAACATTAGGCATAGGCAAAAGATCAAGAGGAGTTAGTGGGTTAAAACCATAAACAACCTCAAAAGGAGAACAATTAGTAGTGCTATGAACAGCCCTATTGTAAGCAAACTTAACGTGGGGTAAACAAACTTCCCAAGTCTTTAAGTTCTTTCTTAAAACTGTCCTAAGCAATGTTCCCAACGTCCTATTAACAACTTCCGTTTGCCCATCAGTTTGTGGGTGACAAGTGGTTGAAAATAACAATTTAGTGCCCAACTTGCCCCACAAGGTCCTCCAAAAATGGCTTAGGAACTTAGAGTCCCTATCACTGACAATGCTCCTTGGCAAACCATGGAGTTTCACAATCTCCTTGAAAAACAAATCAGCCACATGAGAAGCATCATTCACCTTTTTACATGGAATAAAATGAGCCATTTTAGAAAACCTATCAACAACCACAAAAATTGAATCTTTGCCACTACTTGTGTTTGGCAGCCCCAAAACAAAATCCATGGATAAATCAATCCAAGGATACTCCGGAATTGGCAATGGAGTATACAATCCATGAGGCTTTACCTTTGACTTTGCCTTTTTACAAACAATGCAATGTTCACAAAATTTCTGCACATCCTTTTTCAAATGAGGCCAATAAAAATGTTCTTGTAATGTTTTTAGAGTCTTTTGGACCCCAAAATGCCCCATTAAACCTCCTTCATGTGCTTCACTAACAAGCAAGTTTCTTGTAGAACATTTAGGCACACACAATTTGTTTTCTTTGAAAAGAAAGCCTTCATGTCTAAAGAAACCATTTTCTGAAAATTTTTCACAATTTTTAAAAATTTCACCAAAAGTTTCATCACTTTCATACATGTTTTTCAAACATTCAAGACCAATCAATTTTGTTTCAAGCATAGAAAGCAAAGCATGACGCCGAGAAAGAGCATCAGCTACAATGTTACCTTTTCCTCTTTTATGTTTGATAACATAAGGGAATTGCTCTAGAAATTCCACCCACTTGGCATGCCTTTTGTTAAGCTTGCCTTGTCCCTTGATATATTTGAGGGACTCATGGTCACTATGAATGACAAATTCCTTGGGATAAAGGTAGTGTTGCCATGTTTTCAAAGCTCTCACTAAGGCATACAACTCTTTATCATAAGTTGAATAGTTAAGGGTAGGACCACTTAGCTTTTCACTAAAATAAGCAATTGGATGGCCTTCTTGCAACAACACAGCCCCAATCCCAACATTTGAAGCATCACACTCAATTTCAAAAGATTTTTGAAAGTTTGGCAAAGCAAGTATGGGGGCATTAGTTAGCTTTTGCTTAAGAGCTTTGAAAGCTTCTTCTTGTTTCTCTCCCCATTTGAAACCAACATTTTTCTTAAGCACTTCATTTAGAGGTGCTGCCAATGTGCTAAAATCCTTCACAAATCTCCTATAGAAACTTGCTAAACCATGGAAACTTCTCACTTCGGTCACGGACTTAGGTGTAGGCCATTCTTGAATAGCCCTAACCTTTTCCTCATCCACTTGTACTCCTTTTGAACTTACAACAAAACCAAGAAACACAACATGGTTAGTACAAAAGATGCATTTTTCAAGATTGGCATACAATTGTTCTTCTCTAAGCACACACAAGACATATTTTAAATGATCAACATGCAATTCA